AAACGAAGTCCAATAATACAAATTAGGTTTACAACGCCATAGTAAATGCCTTGTGGGCAAACTGTAGACTGACTTACTACACATGAAATTTTGCCAATATCTTCCTTACTGTACATACAGTACATAATTATTCTTAGAAAACAATTACTGTAATTCACCATAAAGGGTTTTTTATGTTTCAAAGGCTGTAGTATGTTTGTAGTTACAAGACTGACTTACTACAGGTGAAAGTTTGCCAATATCTTCCTTACTGTACATACAGTACATACTTAATCTTAGAAAAAAATACTGTAGTTCACCAAAAGGGTTTTTTCATGTTCCAAAGGCTGTAGTATGTTTGTAGTTAAAAGACTGACTTACTACAGCTGAGATTTTGCCAAAATCTCCCTTACTGTATGTACAGTACATAATTATTCTTAGAAAACAAAAGGGTTTGTTCATGTTCCAAAGGCTGTAGTACATTTGAAGTTACAAGACTGATTTGCTACAGGTGAAATTTTGCCAATTTATTTCTTACGGTACGTACAATACATAATTATTCTTAGATAACAATTACTGTAATTCACCATAAGTGTTTTTTTATGTTCCAAAGGTTATAGTACATTTGTAGTTACAAGACTGACTTACTACAGGTGAAATATTGCCAATATCTCCCTTACTGTACATACAGTACATAATTATTCTTAGAAAAAAAATGCTGAAATTCACCAAAAGTGTTTTTTTTTTTTCACGTTCCAAAGGTTGCAGTATGTTCGTAGTGACCAGACTGACTGACTTACAGCTGAATTTTTGCCAATATCTTCCTTACTGTATATACAGTACATAATTATTCTTAGAAAACAATTACTGTAATTCACAATGAGGTTTTTTTTTTTTTATGTTCCAAAGGTTGTAGTACGTTTGTAGTTACAATACTGACTTACTACAGGTGAAATTTTGCCAATATATCCCTTACTGTACGTGCAGTACATAATTATTCTTAGAAAACAATTACTGTAATTGCCCAAAAGGGTTTTTTTTATTTGCCAAAGGTTGTAGTACATTCCTATTTACAAGACTGACTTACTACAGGTGAAATTTTGCCAATATATCCCTTACTGTACGTGCAGTACATAATTATTCTTAAAACAATTACTGTAATTGCCCAAAAGGGTTTTTTCATGTTCCAAAGGCTGTAGTACGTTTGTAGTTACAAGACTGATTTACTACAGGTGAAATTTTGCCAATTTCTTTCTTACTGTACGTACAGTACATAATTATTCTTTAAAAAATACTCTTAAAAAACAATTACTGTAATTCACCAAAAGGTTTTTTTTCTTGTTCCAAAGGTTGTAGTACGTTTGTAGTTACAAGACTGACTTACTACAGGTGAAATGATGCCAATATCTCTCTTACTGTACGTACAGTACATAATTATTCTTAGAAAACTATTACTGTAATTCACCATAAGGGTTTTTTTATGTTTCAAATGCTGTAGTACATTTGTAGTTACAAGACTGATTTACTACCGGTGAAAGTTTGCTAATATTACCCTTACTGTACATACAGTACATAATTATTCTTAGAAAACAATTACTATAATTGCCCAAAAGGGTTTTTTCATGTTCCAAAGGCTGTAGTACATTTGTAGTTACGAGACTGACTTACTACAGGTGAGATTTTGCCAATATCCAAGATATTTATATCAAAGATATTTTCTAAGAACAATTATGTACTGTACGTACAGTAAGGGAGATATTGGCAATATTTCACCTGTAGTAGATCTGTCTTGTAACTACAAACATACTACAGCCTTTGGAACATGAAAAAACCCTTTTGGTGAATTACAGTAATGGTTTTCGAAGAATAATTATGTACTGTATGTATAGTAAGGGAGATATTGGCAAAATTTCACCTGTAGTAAGTCAGTCTTATAATTACAAAAGTACTACAACCTTTGGAACATAAAGAACCCATTATGGTGAATTAAAGTAATTGTTTTCTAAGAATAATTATATACTGTACGTACAGTAAGTGAGATATTGGCACAATTTCACCTGTAGTAAGTCATTCTGGCCACTAGGAATGTACTACAATCTTTGGAACATGAAAAAACCCTTTTGGTGAATTACAGTAATTGTTTTTAAGAATAAGTATGTACTGTATGTACAGTAAGAAAGAAATTGGCAAAATTTCACCTGTAGTAAGTCAGTCTGGCCACTAGGAATGTACTACAATCTTTGGAACATGAAAAAACCCTTTTGGTCAATTACAGTAATGGTTTTTGAAGATTATGTACTGTATGTACAGTAAGGATTATATTGCCAAACTTTCACCTGTAGTAAGTCAGTCTGGCCACTAGGAATGTACTAAAACCTTTTGAACATAAAAAAAAACCCTTTTGGTGAATTACAGTAATTGTTTTATAAAAATAATTATGTACTGTATGTATAGTAAGGGTGATATTGGCAACATTTCAGCTGTAGTAAGGCAGTCTGGCCACTAGGAATGTACTACAGCCTTTGGAACATGAAAACAGCCTTTTGGTGAATTACAGTAATTGTTTTTTAAGAATAATTATGTACTGTATGTACAGTAAGAAAGAAATTGGCAAAATTTCACCTGTAGTAAATCAGTCTTGTAACTACAAACGTACTACAGCCTTTGGAACATGAAAAACCCTTTTGGTGAATTACTGTCATTGTTTTCTAAGAATAATTATGTATTGTACGTATAGTAAGAAAGAAATTGGCAAAATTTCACCTGTAGTAAATCAGTCTTGTAACTACAAACGTACTACAGCCTTTGGAACATGAAAAAAAACCCCTTTTGGTGTATTACAGTAATTTTTTTCTAAGATGAATTATGTACTGTATGTACAGTAAGGAAGATATTGGCAAAATCTCACCTGTAGTAAGTCAGTCTCATAACTACAAATGTACTACAGCCTTTGGAACATAAAAAAAAACAAAAAAATTTGGTGAATTACAGTAATTTTTTTCTAAGATTAATTATGTACTGTATGTACAGTAAGGGAGATATTGGCAAAAGTTCACCTGTAATGAGTCAGTCTGGCCACTAGTAATGTACTACAGCCTTTGGAACATGAAAAAACCTTTTTGGTGAATTTTAGTACTGTTTTCTAAGAATAACTACGTACTGTATGTACAATAAGAGAGATATTGGAAAAATTGAATGTGTAGTAAGTCAGTCTTGTATCTAGGAATGTACTAAAACCTTTGGAGTGCGGGAAAAAAATGGGTAAATTGCTATAATTTTGTCATAAAATGTTTGTGTACTGTACATACAGTAAAGGAGGTATTGGTAAAATTTCACCTATAGTAAGTTAGTATTGTAACTAGGAATGTACTATGACCTTTGAAACATTAATAAAAACACTTCTGGTGAATTACAGTATTTTTTCATGAAAATATTTGTGTACTGTACAGTAAGGGAGATATCGGCAAAATATCAAATGTAGTAAGTCAGTCTGACCACTAGAAATGTGCTACAACCTTTGGAACATGAAAAAAAAACCTTTTGGTGAATTTTAGTACTTTTTTTCTAAGAATAATTATGTACTGTATGTACAGTAAGAGAGATATTGGCAAACCTTCACCTGTAGTAAATCCATCTGGCCACTAGGAATGTACTACAACCTTTGGAACATAACAAAAGCCTTTTGGTGAATTACAGTAATTGTTTTCTAAGAATAATTATGTACTGTATGTACAGTAAGGGAGATATCGGCAAAATCTCACCTGTAGTAAGTCAGTCTGGACACTAGGAATGTACTACCACCTTGAACTGCCGTTTGGGTACTTACAGTAGTTTTTTATGCACATAATTGTGTACTGTACTGCATATATGAAGGAAGGTATTGGCAAAATCCCACCTGTAGTAAATCACTGAGAGTTATACACGCTTTACAGTTTGGCAATATTTTATTTGAAATGTTAAAAGTCACTTTAGTTAAAATACATATACATTTAAAACCAAATCGGTGGAATTGTCAGACGGTCCCTTACGCATCAAGCGCCGCTATAGCACGTCAAAGCTTTTTCCAGTTTAAATTTGCTGCTACAATACACTTAGGCGGTTTTTAAATAAGATTTTCATGTCGATATAAAGTTGTTGCATATTCTTAAAACTAATCGTGGTAGTGGTATCTTTGTAGGACTGTCGTCGACTCTATAGAACAGTGGCACGCGAAAGCGAATGTCTGGCGAATATCGAACCTAAAACTAACTTTACCAAGCTGACGAAACTTACTTGTGAAGTGTGACATAATATACCTCTGTAAATAAATACTATTTAAATTCACGTCTCGCATACTTTAATGCCCTTTGTATGGAACATATACGCTCGCTTCGAACTGGAATCATGGCGGAATATCCGGTGATGTACACTTCCCAGGGCACTCACGGTCGAATAGAACAAACATCGCACGTGATAAGAGATACATATGAAATGTGCAGAGCAGGAGGGCGTGAGGATTGGAATTGGGAACCGCTGATGTAGCCTATTGTAATGTTGTCTCTGGTGTTCTGATCTGTGAGTGTAAATGCGTTCAGGGGGCGTGGCCTTGGATGGAGATTGCAGGGAGGGTGGGACATTGGCTTTCAGTGCTATCAGGCTAAAGTTAGCATTTTCCAAGATCTCCTACTGCACCTTTAATTAAGTGAAGAACTTAACTGACTTCTGAAAATAAAAGTTAAATTGATATTTATATAGTTTGTCCACTTAAATAGGCTACGTGTTGCATATGTCTTTGGAATTTATAGGCTGAGCACAATAAGGAACTATTCCAAATCATTCTTATAAGTCAATTATGTATTGTTTACGCTTATTTAAACCCCATGCGCAGCATATTCAAGTGTAATTAAGCGTATTTAAATATTAATATTTAAACATCTTCGGTCAACAAACTTCCCTGTAGTTCACCTGCATTACCCTTCCGGGAGGTGTGACTTTACAGTAGACGTCAATGTCATTATTTATCTTTAGCGCTCCCCCTGATCGCAGGATTTAAACTGGTCTACCTAACACCTTCTAATCACTGAACAGAGAGCAGTGCTAGACAAACAGTCACCAGAGGATCTGTTTTTTTTTCTTTTTTTTTCTCTCTTTACGGTACCTGTTTCTTACGATAAGTAGCCTACTGCACTGCCATTCGGACTAAAATTTGAAAATGAATATACCACTAAAGACCATTCTGATCTTCTGCTTGGTGGCTGCAACGACTGCACAATGTGAGTGTATTTCTTAGAGAAATGTGGATGGGATGTCATATTTAGCTGAAAAAAAAAAGTTCCTTGGCTGGTCGTTGTAGACTATTATGGACATATATATTATTGGATTCTTAAATCGTGATTGCAAATTGGCTTACACTTACGTTTTAAACGATTGTTATTGCTGTAAACTCTGTTGTCATGTTGGTAGTAATGTTTTGTAATTCGGACACAAGTTTTCAGAATCCTTGACTACTTGGTTTAACATACTTGGCTTAGACCTAACTTTATAATTACTTAATTATTCATCATTTTGTGTGTGTTAACGTAGAAAATTTGTAATTTATTTAAATGATTTTGAAGAATGCTTAAGTCTTGAACTTTAGTTCATTAAATATTAAAATAGTGACATTCTTAATGACCTGCCATCTTTAAGAATAATTTATTAGATCCTCTAAAAGCCAAAAATAATTCACAGTTATGGATTGTTTGACGCTTTGTAGAACTTTTTGTCACAGAGTAATGAATAATCCTAAATCAACACTTGAATTTTCTGTTATTTATCTGCAGACAGGCTGGCCAGTTGAGTTAACCATTTATTTGAGATTTCAATCAGTGTGCCTTAAAATTTAATTTTTAAAGGGATAGTTCACCCAAACAGTCATTTTTACTTAGAAGAGCTCAAGTTGGTAAGCAACTAGTTGGGCAACCTCATATTTTATATAATGACCTTATATTTGCTAATATTTTTTGTGTTTTATTTTTTGTTTTGTACTCGATTTTAGGCGTGGAAAAACAATATTACATAAATTCTTTACATATGTACTTTACATGAATGCTCTTTTGGCTAGGCATATTCTATTAATTATTAATTTGGAGTAGTTAACCTTGAGCTGGCACTTCCTTGTAGATGGGAAATTGGCATGTGAACTTTGTTATTTTCATCATGAGGTGTCTGAGTAACTGTTGAAATTGTATTGCTTACAAAGTCCATACCATTTTTATTGGATTTTCAAAGATTATTTTCCACTGATATGAGTAGATAAGGTATGATTAAGGACCCCAAATAGAGAACTTATTTGATTCAAATAGACTTGAAGACAAAGCAGTTTTTTCCAGGAAGCAAACAATGAAAAACAAACAACTACATAATTTTTTTCCTTTTGCATTTTTCTTCATATCTTCAAGTGACATTTCTGATAACTTGCACATAGTCACATATACAGTGGCCTCAAAACATATTTGTAAGCTTAAGTCATACAAAATGTTATATTATTACGTTAATCTGTTAACTATGGGCATGCCATTAACATTTGACAACCAGACATTGTCGACATACTTTTGTCTTAATTTTGACAATATATTTATAATTTGATGCATAATAAATCAGTTTTATTTTTTTATTTTGCTTGAAATCTGTGTACGTGTTAAATTTCTTTAAAATAAATGCCTCTTATTTTGATATTTTATGATTCTAATGTGAAGCCATTCATACAGCTTAAATGTTTGAAATATTTTTGGAGACACTGCACACATTTTATCTAATCACATCTTTATTTGGTTGTTTTACGTACCACAGCATAAGGTTATTTGTCACTTAGACATGTTTATTCAAAGTAACTTTCAGTAATTGTGTTAGTTAGTTAGTAACATTCATAGTGCAACCTTGGGCTGGGTGCCTTGGTGAATACTATAATAACGCTAAAGTTCATGTTTTTCCCCCTCATTCAATATTATGTTGACAATTCAGATTATCTAACATTAAGAATCAGCTGAATCTGTCTGTCAACTACACATATAATTGGCTGAATCTGGTCTGTCAAATACACATAATATCATATAATGGTTTTATGGAAAACATGGGGGTAGTTTCATCATGCAGAATGGACTATGCGATTAAGAGAAAACAAAGAAGAGTAGAGAAAAGCATAGTGTAATTCTAATGTGTCACTGTTTCCAGGTAACATATTTCATGATTTTCCTCCCATTTCTTGTTCACCATATCATATGGTCTTTCTGATGCCTTCCTTTAACATGAAAAATCTCCCACCACAGCTACTACAGATGTAACAAGCAGTTTCACAGCTGAGAGCACAGATACTCCTACCAGCACAACTGATGCCATCACAGTCACCACAGAAGGTATTCTCATCTCCATAACCAGGAACTCCACCATCAGGCCTAAAGGCTACATAGTAACTTTTAATCATAAGAAGAAATTGTCCTTAAAATCATAGTTCACGCAAAAAAAAAAAAAAAATCTTTACTGTTGTGTTGATTATTTAAATTGCCTTGACATTTTCTGCTACAGTGTACTTGTTACTGTTTCATAACAGCAGGCTGATTTTGTTTTCTGAAAGTTAGCAGCACCCTGGTTCCCTTGACAAAAAAGTTTATGATTCTTACATGTTTTATTCATCATGATAATCCAAACAAATAAACCCAACTTTTATTAATTTTGAATCCTAAATACAGTCAGAAGTAATAAGCTAAATGTAGGCTAGAAATGAGCTACACTACGGTTGCATGACTTCAACATTACCATTATTAAGCTTCTGACAACTTTTTCATTCTTCATTTAAAAAACATTATCCCTGAAAGCTTACAATAGAGTTGTTTGCAAGAGCGTGATTATAAACACAGTAAGGCTGTAGACTAGAAAGTAGCTGAGTTTATTTTTTTGTCATTTTGACTTTTAATGTCCCCAAAAACCTCAGTCCCATTTAAGAACTTGTTAGCAACCGTCTTTTTCAAGACAAGTAAAAGCTTTTTAAAAAATCACAAGGGGGTATTACTGATGTAGTGTATGTCATAGAATAAAACATGAAAATACCTTGAGCTTGTGTTAACCATAATGTAATTTGTTACATGTCTATCCTGACCACTCAATTCTGATTCATCAATCGTGCCATTCAAAGGTTTAGTATTTCCTATATTCACAGCTGCTGATGGTAACAGCGTTGACTTTTTTATTATTTGTATTTCAGGTAAAAGCTGTCTTTGCAGTATTTAGGGTAATGAAAAGGGATGGGGTTTTGCTTAAAACAAATAATCTGCTGTAGAATGTTTTTTTTTCTCTTGTATTAGACACAACAACATAAAGTTATAATGTGATATATTCCATTTTACATACGTAAAATACATGTAACATTACACTTCTTCCCCCATGATTAACATCATTGGATCTTCAAAAAAAAGATTTCCTTGGCTATAAAATCCAGCATTTTTTTATGTCATTGGAGCTTCAAAAAAGAAAGCTTTCCTTGGATATAAAACGCAAAATAAGATACAAATATATAATGGTCATTGTTGTTTTGAAGAGCACAAGTTGGTAAGCAAATTGGGCTGGGTGCCTTACTGAAGAGGATAGTAACTCAACAGTTCATGGTTTTTCCCCTCATTCAATTTTGTGTAGAAACTTCAGACTATCTAACATTGAGAAACATTCAGAACACGATCTGATGAATCTTTCTGATTTCTAATTATTATTATTATTAAATTATTAAATTAAATGATTCTTTCTGTCAAATATACATAATATCATATAATGGTTTTATGGAAAACATGGGGTAGTTTCCTCATGTAGAAAGGACTATGCGATTAAAAGAAAACAAAGAAGTGGTGTTTGGTATTTTGTGTGTGGATTTGGCAGTGGGAACTTTCCCAGCTGTAATAGAAGAGTAGAAAAAGCAGAGTGTAATGCTAAAGTGTCACTGTTTCCAGGTAACATTTCATGTTTTTCCGGTAACACTTTATTTCGATAGTCCACTTTAGACATTCTATTAACAGTAAGTAACTTTGCAACTACATGTCAACTAGCAGTTAGTAGAGTGTTAGTAGACTGTCTGCTTAATATCTTCTAACACTTTCTTTGTCAACTTATTCTACTAACCCTAAACCTACCCTAACAGTCTACTCTGAGAGTTAGTAGACATGTAGATGCAAATTAATGAGAATTAGTTGACATGTAGTTGACATGTAGTTACAAAGTTACTTATAGTTAGTATAATGTCTAAAGTGGACTATCGAAATAAAGTGTAACCGTTTTTCCTCCCATGTCTTGTTCACCATATCATATGGTCTTTCTGATGCCTTCCTTTAACATAAAAATCTCCCACCACAGCTACTACAGATGTAACAAGCAGTTTCACAGCTGAGAGCACAGATACTCCTGCCAGCACAACTGATGCCATCACAGTCACCACAGAAGGTATTCTCATCTCCATAATCAGGAACCCCACCATCAGGCCTAAAAGCTACATAGTAACTTTTAATCATAATAAGTTGTCCTTAAAGGCATAGTTCCAGCAAAATATAATACATTTTGTCTTTATTTACTAATGTGTTGATGTTTTAAATTGCCTTGGCATTTTCTCCTTCAATGTAGCCTACTTGTTACTGTGTGATAACAGCAAGCTGATTTTGTTTTCTGAATACAATGCTAGAGAGAGATATAGAGTGCTGCAGTGATGACATTTTTTGTAGGCCAACCCGCAAGTTATCATCACCCTGGTTCCTTTGACAAAAAAAGTTTATGATTCTTATGTTTTATTCAGCATAATCCTCACAAATAAACCCAACTTTTATTAATTTTGAATCCTAAATACAATCAGAAGTAATAAGCTAAACATAGGCTAGAAATGAACTACACCACAGTTGCATGACTTCAACATTACCATTAAGCTTCTGACATCTCTTTCAGTCTTGATTTAAAAAAAAAACTTTTTCAAGAAAAGTAAAAGCTTTAAAAAAAAAATCACAAGGGGGAATTACTGATGTATTATATGTCATAGAATAAAACATGAAAATACGTTGAGCCTGTGTTAACCACAGACCTTATATTGGGAATTTAACTAAAATGGACGACGAAAGCAGTGCTAAAAATGCAAAAAAAAAAGGTTTTGATCTATGTTATCTCTGCAGCACTCTTTAAAGGAGACATATTATGCCCCTTTTTACAATATGTAATATAAGTCTCTGGTGTCCCCAGAATGTGTCTGTGACGTTTCAGCTCAAAATACCACACCGATATTATATCTATTTTGAGTAGAAGCAGAAACACGCTGTTTTTCGTGCCTGTCTCTTTAAATGCAAATATGTTGCTGCTCCCCGCTCCTTTTTCCGAAATAGAGCTGTGGCTGGCTGTGCCATTAGAGCTCGGACCTGCTAAAAACATCTGTTTTGGTTCTAATTATCATGTTTATTGCGCTGAAATCATGCGTTTTAAACCATATTAGTTTAAACGTATGATATACGGTTTTCTGAGTGCACACATCCGAAGCACACGGACAGAAAGCAGCTCTCACAGCATGTGAGTACTAAACTAAGTTCTCATTCACATTTCACACACAAGTTTACGTTTAAAACACACATGAGTTATGAAAACAGTCGGTTATGTCTGTGAAGGTAAAGAGCTGGGAAAGAAATCGTATGTTTATATTAGATCTGTGTGGCAACAGCTTAATATACAGTAAATAAATCAATAAATCCTCTGCTCTGTTGTCTCCTCTGAGGCTGGGACTCTAAATAGTGTTCTGTTTTCATCTGTGCAGCCAAAGACAGAACAGTTAGCGTGTTTTGCTCAAACCTTCGCCATGGCATTAGAACTGGTACACTGCTGTTGCTTGCGAAATCAAAATGACGGCGCCATGGGTGGAAACTTACAGATTAAGGGGCGGTAATATTATAATGAGATGCCTTTGCGACATCACTAGGGAAGCGAAATCAGACTCGCTCGTTTTTTCAGACGCTTGCAGAAAAAAGGCTTACCAAAACAAAGTTACTGGGTTCATCTTTTTCACGTTTCTTTGGTTGGTAGATGCACTGGGGACCTGATTGATTATAGCACTTAAAACCTGGAAAAGTCAGATTTTCATGATATGTCACCTTTAAGGTCTGTCATATAACCATTATGTAATTTGTTACATGGCTCTCTTGATCACTCAATTCTGATTGGTCAGTCATGCCATTCAAAGGTCTATAGTAGGGATGCACCGAATGTTCAGCAACTGAAATTATTCGGCCGAAAATAGCAAAAAAAAGCTCTTTCGGTGTTTGGCCGAATAAGCGAAAAGACCGAATAAATTGTACCGAACAATGACGTGATGCGATCAAATAAGAGGAAGGGGTGAATGTTGCTGGTTACTGTATGGTGATTGAAATCGTGAAATGGCTTTAAACAATTACGTTCGAATTGCATGTATTCTGACAGCGCTGCACAAACTCGCGGCGCTATCTGCTTGTTAAAGGGTTAGTTCATCCAAAAATGAAAATTGGCTTGTGTTTTACTCGCGCATTCATAATAAAACGTGCTTCACACGGCTCCGGGGCGTGAATAAAGGCCTTCTGTAGTGAATCCATGCCTTTTTGTAAGAAAAATATCCATATTTCAAACGTAATAAACACTTTTTATCACTTCCACCAACTGTCATACGTGGAAGCCATTCCGGCGGATGACCTAGCACGTCGGTGTTGTGTGATAAGTGACGAACGCGGAGAGACAACAAAACAAAACGCCGGTCACGAATTAGAAGAACAGACTGAAGATTTGCAAAGAAAAATGTCGGAGGATTTCGATATAAGCCAAGAGGAGACTCTTGCTAAAGTAAAGAAACTTTGCTTCCTTTGCTCCTATAAACAAACCCGTGAGACTAGCATATCTCAGAGGCATGCCCGCTGCGCATACGTCATACGCCCTCTATTAATACATTTATTATAACATTCACAATTGGGATCTGTAATATTTTCTAATGTTTAAAAAAAAAATGTCTTCCGCTCAGCAAGGCTGCTTTTATTTCAAAAATGCATGCCTTATTCAAGAAGGGGGTCTGATGGCCAAAAAATATTATTTTACTAACTTATTAATTTTGTTAAATTGTGCTTTGTTAGTATAATGTCTGCTAGAATGTAAAAAAAATGTTCAGTGTTAAATATTTTTAAATTATTTTTTGTAATTGATTTTTTCTTTGAAAAACAAGACAAAATAGTAAAAAGCACATTTTGGCTATTTCATTTATGCAATGGTGAAAAAAATTGGCAAAATACGTGGGGGGAAAAAAACTAGAAAAACCGTGTTCGGTATTCGGCCTTCGGCATTCGGCCCAGTGTTTCATTTTGTTTGGTTTCGGCTTCGGCCAAGAATTTTCATTTCGGTGCATCCCTAGTCTATAGTGTTTCTTAATATCCACAGCCACTGATGGAAACAGCATAGTCTGCTTATTAATATAACTACATAACACTGCAGAGTGCAGACTCGCTCTTTCTTGTTTCATACAATCGCAACTTAAGTTTTAACATTATTTTTAATATTGTTATAGTGTTCATCTTGTAGGCAGATTGTTTTGTAAAATGTATTTTTAATTTTTTTCTTAGTGGCAGCTATAAGATAAAGTACAGGTAAAGGTATAAAATATTGTCAACTCAAATCAATATTTCTTCTACACATATTTATTTAATAAGTAGCTGTGTAATATTGAATAATGAAATTACAGTCAGGTCATTATCAGAAAAATGACCAGATTATCATTAAGAAGGTCATTGTCACAAAACAAACCCCTTCAGGGTGATATAAGACTGATCACCCAGTTGGAGTTTATTATGGTCTTTCTGCAACCTCCCCTTACATAAAACCTTTCCCGCAGCCCCTCAGGAAAGCACTATGACACAAGGTACTCCCACCTTTTTAATCCTAAATCCCACCAGCTTGCCTAAAGGCTACATAATAACATTTTTACTTAAGAAGTCATTCTCAAATGCATAGTTCACCCAAAAAATTTAATTGTTTTTCTGTACTATCGTGTTAATGGTTAAAATAATTTTCCTTTTTTTATGCTGCAGTGTCCTTGTTTCTGTTTGATAAGTAAGAAATAAACCTGATCATCTTCTCTGAATCCAAAGCTGGTCTATTAGGTCTGCCATACAAACATTATGTAATTTGTTACATGGCCCTCAGGATCACTCAAATCTGATTGTTCAGTTGCGGCATTCAGTATTCTGATATTTCTTCATTTTTGCTGTGTTCGGTGGCAATGCCATATGTCAGTCTGCACATTCATGTAACTGAAAAAGTGCTACTTTCATATGTCTTGTATAACACTGAACTCACGCTCTCTTATTTCATAAAAATGCACATTGTGCCATCTTGCATCTCAGTAATCAGTTGTAATAAAAATTACTTGGAGGATTCAGTATTAATATTACCAGGATTCTTGGAGGTTTCAGAATTAACATTATTATTGTAGTAGTGATCATCTTTTTCTAGACCAATTGTTTTGTACAATGTAATTGACTATTTTTCTTAGAAGAAGCTTTAAGATAAAATACAGGTAAAGGTATAAAATAATTTAAACTCAAATCATTATTTCTTGTCCACATATTTATTTGATAAGTAGCTGTGTAAAAAGTGGGATAATGTACCTACAGTCAGAAGGTCATTATCAGAAAACTAACCCATTCAGGGTAATATAAGACTGGTCCTCCTGATGCAGTTTATTATGGTCTTTCTGCAACCTCCCCTAACATAAAACCTTTCTCCACAGCTCCTGAGGAGACAAGTACTGGTACTTTTAACACAGACACAACAACTGATTCTACAGATGATACTCCTGCCAGCACAACTGCTGCCACCACAACCACTACGACACAAGGTACTCACACCATCATAGTCTTAAATCCCACCAGCAAGCCCAAATGCTTCATAATAACATTAAATCATTAGAAGAAGTCATCCATAATCCTGTCATAATTTACTCACTGTCCTTCCAATCTTGTATGACCTTCTTCTGTGAAACATAAAAGACGAAATTTTAAACAATGTACTTGCAATTACAGTGGATGGGGACTGAAGCCTTTAAGCTTCAAAAAGGCAAAAAAAATTTGAATTAAAGTGTCATAAAGATTTAAAATGAGTTAAAACCAGGAGCTTAATAATACTGATCTGTGAACTAATCATTCAGAACAAAAATGTGAACTAGATCAATCGATGCATTTAAGACTTCCCTTTTTTTTTTTTCTTTTTTTTTTTACCAATCAGATATTGCTACACCATGAACTTGCCAAGGGTAAACTATAGGACAAATGTCAAGATTTTCAGTGAATAATGACTTAAATTTTAGCCTGTTTTATTTAGCTTCATGAAACTTGGAATATAGCACAGAGGTCATATGGACTACTTTTATGACACTAGTGCTTTGAGTCTTTTTTGAAGCTTGAAAACGTGGCAAATGATTGTCATTTTAGAATATATTGATTAAGTAATTTACAGAAAATAACCACTGCTGGAAAAGATCTTTTCTGGTTCACGCAGGTTAAAAATGGCATCATGTTTGTTCATTTTCAAGGTCCCTGTGAATCAAGTCCTTGTATTGGAGACAGTACCTGTGAAGAACGGTTTGGGGGCTTCTTTGCTTGCATCTGCAGGCCTGGGCTTGTTTACTTGGAAATGAGAGGCTGTATTCAAAGTATGATTGGCTCAGTTTTGAATCATCATAACATAAGTGTAGATGTGTGACACAATAATATGCTTAAAGGGTTAGTTCACCCAAAAATGAAAATTAGCCCATAAATTACTCACCCTCAAGTCATCCTAGGTGCATATGACTTTCTTCTTTCAGACGAATCCAGTCGAAGTTATATTAAAAATGGTCTTTGATCTTTCAAGCTGTTTCATGGCACTCAGCGGGTGTTGCATGCATCCGCCCAAAAGCAGTTAAATAAAATGCGCTGATCCATTAAAAAAAAGTGTCTCACACGGCTCCGGGGGGTGAACAAAGGCCTTCTGTAGCGAATCGATGCGTTTTTGTAAGAAAAATATCCATAGTCAAAACGTAATAATCACTTTAATGTAGAGTTTAATGTGGAGAGATCAAAACAAAACAATGGTCAAGAATTAGAAGTACAAAACAAGGATTTGTAAAGAAGAATGTCGGAGGATTTCGATATAAGCCAAGAGGAGACTGGTTTTCCTTTGCTAAAGTAAGGAAACTTTGCTTC